GCCTCCTCAACCAGTCTCCCCACCAAGCTCTCTCACCCTTTAATCTATTCAGGGAATATCATTTGGCTTAGGCTTCCACAGCTTATAGTCCAAACTCCTCACAATCTCCTGCAAAGGCTGAATGCTGTGGTTCCTGCCTGTCTGTCCAAACCCTGACTCACACTCCACTCCGACTTGATCCTGGGGCCCACCAACACAGGCTTTTAGTCTTTCAAACACACCAAGCTTTTCCCCATCAGAGCCTTCACAGGGATTCTTCTCTCTGCCTGGAGTTTTCTTCTTTAGTAAAACATTAAACAAGACCTAGTGGCAAGCCTAGTACTACAATAATTCTGAAGTAGGAATGAGCATAAATATTTCAATATGCCTACAATAACAGTAACATAACATGAACGTATCTGTGATTTCCATTAATGTCAAAGTCACAGGAACGACTACTACTACTACTACTATGGTTTGTCCCATACACCATGATAGGAAGAAATGTTATATCTCAATTAGAGGTTATTAAATATAAAGACGTATTTTTGAGCTGGGCACAGTGGCTCATGCCTGCAATCCCAGCACTTCAGGAGGCCGAGGCAGGCGAATCACAAGGTCATGAGTTCAAGACCAGCTTGGCCAATATTGTGAAACCCCATCTATACTAAAAATACAAAAATTAGCCGGGCACACTGGCAGGCTCCTGTAATCCCAGCTACTTGGGCAGCTGAGGCAGGAGAATTGCTTGAACCTCGGGGGTGGAAGTTGCAGTAAGCCAAGATCACACCACTGCACTCAAGCCTGGATGACAGAGTGAGACTGTCTCAAAAAAAAAAAAAAGAAAAAGAAAAGATGTATTTTTGATTCTCATCCAAGTTCATGGACTCCCTGAATTCTACCTAAAGGAATCCAAAGTTAGGAACCCCTAGAGCAAGAATGATCCTTTACAAACATGATCATGTCACTCTGCTAAATCATTCAATGGATTTACACCTCATTTGGAATAAAATTCAAGGTCCACAAGACCCAAAATCATCTACAGGTACACCTAATTCTCACCCTGACCTGCACCCAGCATGCAAACACTCATAAGCCTGCTACTTTCCTGATCTCCTCTTCTACAATTCCCGCTTTGCTCATTCAATTTCAGCCACAATGGTGGCTGCCAAAAAGCTCTGAACTCGAGTACTTAGTTCTTCCTGTTCCCTTTGCCTGAATCTGTCCTAGCAGATATTTATATTACCTGTTCCCTCACTTCATTCAAGTCTTTACTAAAAGAACACCTCATCAGAGGCCTTCTCTAGCCTCTCTTCACAGCACTTATATATCACCCACCACCTGACATTTCATATACACATGGACATATAATAATATAGAACTACAATGTATTTATATATATTATTTATACTATACCAATATATTAGTTACATATAGATAAATACAAATGATATATAATTCCAAAAATATATTTATATATTATATAATATTAATGTCAAGCTAATATTGTTTTATGCATATATACTTGACATTCATTTTATTTTCTGCTATGGTTTGAATGTCTCTCCTTCAAAATTCAGCTGTTGCCAATGTGATAGTAGTAAGAGGTGGGGGCTGGACACAGTGGCTCAAGCCTTTAATCCTAGTACTTTGGTAGGCCCAGGTGGGTGGCTCGCTTGAACCCAGGAGTTAGAGACCAGCCTGGACAACAAGGCGAAACCCTGTCTCTACAAAAAATAAAAAAATTAGCTGGGCGTGGTGATGTCTGCCTGTGGTCCCAGCTACTCGGGAGGCTGAGGTGGGAGGATCACCCGAGCCCGGGAGGTTGAGGCTGTGGTGAGCCATGATCCTGCTGTTGCATTCCAGCCTGCGTGACAGAGTGAGACTCTGTCTCAAAAAAAAAAAAAATTTTCAAAAACAAAGAGGTGGGGTCTTTAAGAGATGATCGGGCTTTGAGGATCCATCCCTCAAGAATGGGTTTGGGTGCTCTTATGAAGGGGCTTCATGGAAGGAGTTGGCTCTCTTGCTCCTAGTGCCTTCTGCCACACGAAGATGCAAGAAGGCCCTCATCAGATGCCAGTGCCTTGATCTTAGAATTCTTATCCTCTAGATCTATGAGAAAATAAATTTCTGTTCTTTATATATTACTTAATGTGAGGTATTCTGTTGTAACAGCACAAAATGGACTAAGACATTTTCTCTCTTACCCTCTAGAATGTAGGCTTCAGAAGCGCAGAACTTTAGAATGCCTTCATGAATACTATAGTCCCAGCCCTTGGACCAATGCTTGGTGCATAGTAATGCTCAATAGTACTCTTCTGGTTCTCCTACTTCATCCCAAATCTCTCCTGCTCTGCCACCTCTTCCTGTTTAATATAGGCACACATTCTTTTTTTTTTCTTGGCCCCAACAATATCTCTATACATGGTGACTGCAGTCACTTCCAAGGCTCCACCTATACTTCAATAGGGATTAATTCCACTTCTACATAGTTAGCCTTTGACTTTCTGCTAAACTCTTTATCTCATTTCTCTTTTATACTACTCTACTTTGTGGAAGTCATATATGTATATATTTTAGCACCACTTTTGGACCTTGAGTTCGTAAAGGTAACATAATCAGTAAACTGTAGCACCTGGAAGATTCTCTTACACAAACCAGGAAATTAAAAAAAGTTCGATAAAGGAAACATTGAAGACAGTCTGATAAAACAGGTCACTGACAGGCAGCTATAATGAAGACCAGTACTTGGGCAAGATGTGTGTGTGCGTGTGCGTGTG